ATTATACCGGTACCGGAACCGGACCGGTACCGCCGGTACCGGTACCAAAAAATAGGTACCGGAACCGGTACTGAAAGTGGCGGTACCGGTACCGGTTCCCGGAACCGGTGACACGGCGACCTTGCCGGTGACGGTGGCGGGTACCGGCGGTACCGTTGCCGGTGACGGTACCGTACCGGTACCGTGTCCACCCCTAGGGAACTGTAACACCTCCGGGTCAATCCCAATGTCATGGGAACCAACCGAGTTAGGGGGTTAGAGAGTGTAATTTAATATTTCCATCACCACCTTAATCTCAACTTTGTTTTTCTGTGGCTCTTATTGTGTCTTGGATGAAGAGGAGGAGGAAGTTGGGTGACATTTGGCTGCCCAGAATAAAACACCAGCCCCCTCACCTTGTAGAACGAACCACATTCACTCCCACCCTTTTGATTTTTCACATTTTGGAAGCAGATTCCACTTATAGACACATTCCCATGCACATATGTAGGAACTTTACCTTCCAAATAGTTTTCAGACAGACCAATAAAACTGAATCCCTGATCCACAGCGGTGAGATACCCATAAAACTCATTCTGTGAAAGACTGAAAGGTTAACAAATGTAGTGTCATACGAGGTAGTATTGACTATTGTGCATAGGTTTTGTTCGTCTTTTATTTTTTAAATGTGCTTTTTGTTGTGGTTTTCATTAGGGAAGCAAATAACTTTCATACACATTGGGTTGACGCACTAACTTAGCACATCTCCTTCGAGGTATGTGAAATGTTTGAATACCATTTTTTTGTTCTTCTTGAATTTAAATAAGCTTTATCATGCTATGAATTCAGCATAATGTCGTGCTATTAGGGCTTACCAATCATGTTCTTTAGTAGGCAACTTTTCTTTAAATTAATTTTTAAAAAAATTGATTGTGTTAAAAGTATTTTATTATGTCATGGAAGTCAATATTAGTATAATTTTAAAAATTATACCACTTTCGTCCCTGGGTATTTGTCCAATCTTAACTTTTTTCGGTCAACTATTTTCAATCTTTGACTTATAATTAAATAAAATGTATATTGTACATTAATTAGATAAAATAATATTTTGAACATATTTGATATAATAAGTAATAAACTATTTTTGTATCAATATCTAATACTCCCTCCGTTCCATAAAACCCTTCCTCTTTCGTTTTTTTTGAATTACCTAAAACACTTCCACTTTCTATAAAAAAAACCTACTTTTACCCTTACTTTTTCATACCCTACCTATCACATCATACTTTTTCACTAATAAACAAACTATCACATCTTACTTTTACCTATCACATCAGGGCAAAATTCGAAAATTAACCAAAATTACACTTTCTTTATTTTTGCCAAAAGTCAAAAGTGGAAGGGTTAAAATGAACGGAGGAAGTATTATTTTTATTTAATTTGAGGTCAAAGTTTACCAATTTTGACCTAAAAAAATCAAAAATGGACAAATATACTCAGGGACGGACGAAGTATGAATTTACATTCCAATAATCACCCATATGTATGAAATGCACAAGAATAAGGCGATCAAATTCTGTCAGAGTGAATTAGAGGAGCAAACTGTATATTATAGAATTGTTTATGCATGTATATTCCTAGAGTCTCAGACAACAATTACCATAGGCAATTGTGGAACTCATTTTTTAGGTGTGAAGGTATAGAGCATACAATACCTTGAACTTCTATTTTGCATGCTTTTTGCATAGACCTGATCCAGTTCTAAATATTTATTGTTTTGAAAATTTGTTTATTCTATTTGTGAGGGGTTTTCATCACCCTCATTATGGAAAGTAAGTAGAAAGCTATCTTGTAGGGATCAGAAAAATTTATAAATGTTTATTCATTAAAATTATACGGAGTATTAATTAAATTCAAATACAAAGTGAAGTGAGCGGGAACGGACTATGCACTTGGTTTTTTTAGTGAACAAAGTATGACTCCCATCACGGTTTGACTTGAGGTGTTTAATAAACTTTTTTTTAAATAATGTGGTTCCAATCCAAAGCAGTTCGGTGCTATGTGGTGTTCACTACAAAGGTGAATGGACATGCAAAGTTAGAATTGTTGAGAAGCGGAACATTAGAGACTCGAGGTGCAGTCCAAAATAAGTATAGACTTTATGTATTGCAAGATCATGAAGTAAGTGTTTTTAAATCATAAATGAACCAAACATAGAATATTACAAGAGTAGACTTTTAATTATGTTAATTTGATGTATTTATTTTAAAATAATAGTGCACGAAGGTTCTCACCATGGTGAATAGTGGAGACATTGATCAAGTTGATCGAGTATTGAATATCCATAAAACATACTCCGTATAAAATAACAAATGCAGCTATGATAATACAATCTCCCATCACCATCTCCCCACTATAAATACATCTGGATGATTAGTAATAGACATATATTGAGCCAGTTCTAGATTTTGAACAGATTGAAATACCAGATGAGGTAGAAGAGATGCTGACATCATTTAATGAGTTTTACGACATTAGTGCAAGTAAAACCCCCATAAATAAGTCATTTAATTTCTTTTTCCTTATATAGATATACAGCTTTTTACTACCACTTTGCATCAGATGTGTACTTTTGTATACAGATTTCATGGCCGTTGTCATAGAAATATAACGAGAGAGTACATCTCAGCTGGATTCTCAGGAAAAAATAGCACATGATTTCACCATTTCTAATTGCGTAAAAAGATAAGGCCCCAGTGGCTTATTTTTGTCCAGTCTAGTCTTTTAAATTGATTATTAGAAATAACCGATTCAAAAGACTTTTGAATCGATTATTTCTAATAACCGATTTAAAAGACTAGAACTATTTGAATCGGTTATTAGAAATAACTGATTCAAAAGACTTTTGAATGGTTTATAGCTAATAACCAATTCAAATACTTCCGGTTGGCGAAATTCATTACCCCATTTGCATCGATTTTAGAGGATGCAAGTGGAGTTGTCGACTGGACTTTTTTGGTAGTAGTAAAGTAGTCTGAATTCAAACATTCTGATGCAAATAATGAACATCTAAACATTTGATGTATTGTGGAATAAAACAATTATTGGTTATCTATCAATTAAATGCTACAAGAAATGTTTCTTATGAATTCAAAAAACGCCAACCCCGCCCCAAAAAAATCCATAAATTATTCTTTCAACTTCCTTCTTCATGAGGCACTGAGCAAATAGCAATATATTTAAATTCAATCACATAAAATCTTAAAGAAAAAGTATAAAAAATACTTAGATAAAAACATAATCGGGCATTTAAACTCGCGCAACGCGCGTGCAATTGCTAGTATATATAATAAATATCAAACTATTCAAGGATTTCATCTTTTGACATTAAAGACCAATATCATAATATGGAATTATGGCATTTACGCTACTTTAATCGAAAAATTAATGATTCCTACTGTCATAAACTCCTTGTAAATATCCTTGTTTGGCCCCAACGAAACCCCGCACCCCTACTAATTGAACCCTCCAAATTTTGTTTAATTTTGAAACCAAGTCAAGGAAATTATGAAGATTCAATTGGTGAGGTGGGGGGTTCTAATTGATATTTATACATAGATATAGTTTATAAAAAGTTAATATTTCAAAATTATGTTTCTAAAAATATCATTAATATTACATTTATATCGAAACATAATGTATTTTTTCCACATATCGAGTTCAAAGTTTACGAAGTTTAATCAAGGAAAATAAAATAAGGGTTGTTTCATGAGTTCTGGAGGTATGATAAGATATGATTTTTGAAATCTAGGAAAAATGATATGGGTTTTGAAATCTGAAACGAATTTGTTTAGAATGATTTAAAATCATAATTTAATTAGTGATACGTAGGGGTGACTGATAAGGGATGTGGTTGGTGATGACAATGGTAGCCGTCGGTGGAGATCGATCAACTATTGAGAGAGATATAAAACCCCATATTGAGTAATTTACTTAAATAGGATTAAAACATAATGACTTTCCCCATATTCAGTAATTTTTCACTATTTTGATATCTCACAAATTCAAGTTCCATTGGGAGGATCTATGATATCTAGGGGTGAGCAAAATAACCGGACCGACCGTGAAACCGAAAACCAAAAACCGAAATAACCGAGTTTTCGGTTTCGGTTACCTATTCTCAAATTATCGGTTTTTCGGTTAGTCCGGTCGGTTTTTGGTTCTTTAATTCGGTTAGTTCGGTTAACCAAATAACCGAAATCCATATTCACCCCTAATGTTTATTAAATTAATATTACCAATTTTTAAGTCCAAATAAGTGAATTAAGCTCAAATATGTCATTTTAATCATTATTCCTTCTATACCCAAAATACCTATTTTTCCATATTCATCCCTTTGTTCCTCTTTTTTTAATTAATCCTTAGTTCTGTTTTTTATTAATTATTTTACAAATTAAATTGTTAAATAAATTTTTTACTAATAAAATCTACCTTTAGTAAATATTATTTTTTTATAACTTAAATCTGTACATATTTAAAAATAGATGTCTTAAATATGCATTTTGCATTTTTTGTAATTATAGTTTACTTTTATTTTTTATTATTTCATAATTAGATTAAAATTAAAGGTCGATTCGGTTAATTTCGGTTTCGGTTCGGTTATTGTCGGTTTCGGTTTGTTCGGGTTTAATCCAAGCTAAGGTCGGTTCGGTTCGGTCGGTTATTTTGAATAATAAATTTTTTCGGTTAATTCGGTTTTGGGCCGAAACCGACCGAACTGACCCGCTGCTCACCCCTAATGATATCTAGAGGCATCAAACTCGATATCTCTTTTGGCTTCACCAATCACCATAAAAAATTTAGATATCTGGAGATATCAAAACTCATATCTCTTTTCCTCACCAAGCATACCCTAAAAAAATTAAATCCCAATGGAGGGAGCATCAATATTTTGCTCAAGTCAAGTTGGTGTCTTGATGTCTGATACAATTTGATAATAACTTGTCTTATTGAATATTAAGAGATATGACCCTATATATAGGGAATACAAGAGTAATCAAAGTACAAGTAGGAAAGGAAAGAATAATCCTAGTAGGAAAGGAAAGAAGTATCCTAATTTAATTATACTTCCTAATATCCCCCCGCAAGCTGATCAACGGAGACGAGGGGCAGCTTGGAACATAAGTACTCAAAAGGAACTGGTGGAAGCGGTTTGGTAAGAATGTCTGCTAGCTGCTCTGAGGAGGAAACATGATGTGGAGTCATAGTGCCTTCCATAACCTCATCTCGTACAAAGTGACAGTCTGTGCCCACATGCTTCATGCGATCATGAAGAACCGGATTTTTGGTGACACAGATAGTCGACTCATTGTCACAGTATAACTTCGGTTTGGACGGAGGAATAACCAGTGCATCAGTGATATATCGAAGCCACATAGCTTCTGCTACCCCTGCAGCCATAGCTCGATATTCAGCTTCAGTGGATGATCTAGAAACACGAGTCTGCTTTTTCGTGCACCAAGAGATGATATTAGGACCGAGTAGGAGTATGTAGCCCGTGGTAGACTTGCGATCATCTTTATCATTGGCCTAGTTAGAGTCAGAGTAGACAGATAGGTCGAATCCCCCCTTGCGAAAAAGAAGACCATGATTCAAAGTGCCTTTGAGATAGCGCAGAACGCGTTGCAAGGCATGATAGTCCTGCTCAGTGGGGTTGTGCATAGTCTGAGACACTCGATTAACAGCATACTGAATGTCTGGACGAGTGACAGCCAAGTAATGTAAACCGCCAACAATGCTCCGAAAATGAGAAATATCCTTGAAAGGCAACGAAGGCTTAGTGATAGGTCTCGTAGCCATAGGAGT